TTTTTTTTTTTTTAATTAATATATCATAAACATTTAGTAAATTTATTTATTTTTAAATCACTGTAAACTTGATAATTAATAAAATTTTTTATTTAACAATTTGTTACTAGTGTATAATAGTTAAAGTTTAAATTGATAAAAGATTAAAAAATTTTATTTTATTGATAAATTTATTTATTTTAATTATTTATTCATTTTTTAATTTTATTAAAATTTCTTCTCTTTAATAATATTTTCCTTTTATTTCCCTTCCCTCCCCTACACTTATTTGATTAAAATAAAATACAAAATAAATTAAAGTAATATAAGGGGCAACCCCCCTCTTCCCCTTTTTTTAGTCAAATAAAGAAATTTCTCACCATTCTCTCTCCTCAAGCCAAACAAATTATAAGTAATTATTATATTTTTGTTTTTAACATTAATTTATCGTAAACAATTTATATTAACTTAATAAACAAAATTTGTTAATTAAACAAAATAACAAAAATTCGAAATAACTAAAATTTTTTGTCTTTATTTAAAAATAATACAATTCTTTCTTTGTCAAAAATAAAAATGGAAGTGTGATTCACACTTGTATATGCTATTTTATTTAATTATTCTCTTCTTATTACTTTTATAAAAATTAATAATTTTAATGAGATAAATAAAATATAAAAAGAAAAAATACACTTGATTGCTTTTAACTATACCCTTATTAGTTATTTCACATCAAACAATAAAACCACTAACTATTATAAGACCAAATAGTTACATTAATCAATAGTAGAATATGAATTAATGATCAAAATTTTTTTTGCAAATGATGTGTGTGGAAGTTAAAAGTAAGTGGATCATAATATATGTTTATTAGCAATATCTTTAAAAAATTAGGAAAAAAATCTCAAAATTTTATCGCTTTAATAAATTTTCATTAAAAAATGACTTACATAACATATTTTTAAAGTATGAATGAGATTATTTTAGTTTTTTTTTCTATAATATTTTGTTAAAACAATGTACTTTTAAGATATTTCTTTCCTAATTTGTTAGAGTTTTAGTTAATGAACACTAATCTTATGTATATTGAATGAATCCATGTCAAAACAATTAGATGATGACAGAATTATTAAAGATTGGGATTCCTTATTTCTATTCAACAATGCAGAAATAGTTTTGTGATTTTATGTAAAATTTTTTTTTTTGAACAGCAAAAAATACTATATATTAATGAACGGAGTACAAGGAGTACCCCAAACCCATACACATGACAATTAGAAGGCATAATATTACAAAAGAAGGGCCTTCCGATTGGAAACTTACAAATGGTGTCAACACCATAATTAAGTGTCGACACTAAACCGTGACGGATTTCTGTTCACTTTAGCCTTACTTCATCAATCGCTGTTCAGATCCTCAAAGGCTACCCAGCTTTCAACCCGAGTGGCATGCAAAGATATTGAGCATGCCTTGACTACAGCTTAAATAACACTACAGTCAAAAATTGCTCAATGAAGTCATTACCTTAGGTTGACAAGAGCCCCCCATGAGCCCTCTTCCTGCATCAATGATAGTTTATATGTCTCTTATCCTTCAAGCATTCCATAGGTTCAAACATCCAATTGCATAAATCAAAGGAATACCCTAGTGATCTGTTTTTGATCCATTGGAATGACCGCAGCTGCACCAGCTCAAAAATCCTATTGATGTCCTGTTCTTGGTTCCTGAAAGTCCTCTCATTTCTGGCAATCCATAAAGACCAGATTATTGCACAGCACACCGCATCCCACCCTGCTCTGTTGTTTGCATTTTTAAAGGAGGCTGGTTGTTGTTCAAATGAAGCATAGCAATTCTCAGCTCTAACCGATGAGATCCTCCACCATTGAAGACATTTAGACCACACTGAGTATGCAAAGTTACAATGGAGAAAGAGGTGGTTTGTATCTTCAATACACCCATTGCATAAGGTGCAAGTAGCTAGGTTGAGATTTTGGACAATGCCTCTTCTATACAAATTCATCTTAGAGGGGATTCTATCTTGTATGGCTTTCCACACAAAGGCGCATACTTTTGTGGGGACAAGCCTGCACCACACCCTTTTATACAAGCTGTTCCTCCTTTCATGTTGGTCGCTAGAAAGAGCTTGATATCCCGATTTTGCTGAATAAGCACCTTTATCATGCCTCCACTTCCATCGGTCCTTTTGTCCCTTAATTGGTTGGATGGTTTGCAGCAGCCTCCACAGCTCCGACTTCGAGTTTTCCTCCCAAGAAAAGATGGGTCTCCTCCATTTTAATGTCCAGGTCCAACTTCCATAGTTCCAGTGTCCCAATTGAGAAATGCATTTAGTTTTATCTAACGAGTTCAAAAAAAGTCTAGGAAATTTGTTAGATAATGGGATATCCCCTAACCAAACATCCTCCCAAAACCTGACAGAATTACCCTCCCCCAATTCTAGTATAAAACCATCAGAAAGCCAGCCAACCCTACTAGTGTGTAAATAATCTAATCTACATACATCCCTCCACCATAAGGAACCCCTCTGTTTTCCTTCTTCAATCCAATTCAGCCAATTGCCTCCTTTGCTCCCATATTTCTCACGAATTACCCTATATAGAAGGCCTTCCTCCCCCTCTGCAAATCTACTCCACCACTTCCCTAATTACGCTAAGTTAAACTTTCTAAGGTCTTTCACTCCAAGCCCACCTTCCAATTTACTTCTACAAACCTTCTCCCAACAAACCCAATTTACCTTTCTATTACTCTCACCACCCCCCCACAGGAAACTTCTACGAATTTTATCAAGTAAGAGGATCAAACCTTTAGGCAGCAAGTAGACAGACATCGTGAACACGGGGAGGCTAGACAGCACGGAATTTAGGAGCGTGATCCTTCCACCAAGAGAGATGAATTTATTTTTCCAGCTGGCAAGTTTCTTCTTAAAAGACTCAATCATAGGTCTCCATGTGGCAATACTTCTACATTTTTCCCCAATCGACACACCCAGGTACTTACAAGGAAGATTCCCCTGTTTACAATTCAAGATACTGGACGACCTTGACATCCACTCTTCCGACACATTGATGCCCATTAGTACACTTTTACCAAAATTAACCTTCAGCCCTGATACCATCTCAAAAATCCTCATAACACTCTTTACAGCCCATATATTTTCATCAGAAGCTTCCCCAAACACAATTGAATCATCAGCAAATTGAAGATGGGTTACATTCATGCCTCGATGACCAATTTCAATCCCGTTAAACAAACCCAAGGAAACAGCTGATGAAATGATGCCATTAAGACCTTCAGCAACAATCAAAAATAAGAAGGGGGAGAGAGGGTCACCTTGTCTAAGTCCTCTCTGCATCTTAAACTGCCTAGTAGCACTGCCATTGAGTAACACTGAAACTTCTGCTGTCTTCAAACATTCACTGATCCAGACTCTCCATTTTTTACCAAAACCCAATCTTAGCATCATATATTCCAGAAAATCCCAACAAACTTTGTCATAAGCCTTTTCAAAATCGGCTTTAAACACAAACCCTTTTCTTCTTTCTTCTCTGGGCTTCCTCAATAGTCTCATTTGCAATGACCACACTATCAACTAGTTGCCTTTCCCCAACAAACGCCATTTGAGTCTCCCCAATAATCCCATTCAAAACAGAAGATAGCCTGCACGCTAACAATTTCGCAATCAGCTTGTACATGACACCAACTAGGAAGATTGGTCTGAATTCTTCAATTTTTTGTGGGCTGGCAACTTTAGGGACTAGTACAATGAAAGAGCTGTTCAACCCTCTAACTAGTTTACCATTCTTGTGAAACTCAGTTACAAAACCCATTATGTCATTCTTGATTGTATCCCACATCTCCTTTACAAATTTGAAGTTGAACCCATCAGGACCTGGGGCTTTCAAACTCTCACAATTCCACACAGCTTGCCTAACTTCCTCCACAGTAAATGGTGCTTCCAACATTACCCTTTCCTCATCTGAAATCCTCTTGAACTCGATCCCATCTAAGGCAGGTCGGTGCCAAGTGTCTTCTTTAAACAATGTCTCAAAGTAGTTGGCCACACTTTCTTTCATATTATTGACTTCTTCTGGTCGCTCACTCCCCACCCTGATGCTTGTAATATCATTCAATCTACTTCTTCCTTTCACACATCTGCGAAAAAATTTAGTATTGGCATCCCCTTCGCTAATCCATGTCTTCCTTGCTTTCTAGCGCCATATGCTTTCCTTGATCCTTTGGTTTTTCCATAGATCCAGGAAATTTGTCCTTCTGAGCTCGATATCTTCTGGAGCCAGTGATGTCACCTCACCTTTTTTATCAATGACAACAATAGAATCAATGCAGTTTTGTATACCCAAGTCAATCTCTGAGACCATGTTCTTGCTCCACACTTTCAGCACCTTCTTAATTTCCTTCAATTTCTCCTTCAAACAAAACCCATTCCATCCAATTACTACTATTGACATCCAGATATCCCTAACCATACCTTTAAATTGAGGGAACTCCAGCCATGCATCAAAGAACCGGAATGGTTTAGGACCCCAATCCATAATTTGATTTTTCAATATGATTGGGCAATGATCAGAAAATGAACGATTCAAGCCCCATTGTTTGACATTCTCCCAATTAAGGCACCATTCTTCTGATAGCAGAAACCTATCTAGCCTACTCATTGATGCTCCATTAGACTGATACCAGGTGAATTTTCTACCAATTAATGGTAGGTCTACTAGGCCACATTCATTTATAAAATCATCAAATTCTGGCATTTCTCTTCTACTGCTCATCCCACCCCTCCATTCCTGTTCACTTCTTACTGCATTAAAATCTCCCATTAAACACCAATTCCCACCGGTTTCAATAATGAGATTTTTGAGAGACACCCATAAAACCCTTTTGCTGGAAAGGTCACAAGGGGAATAAATATTGATGATATAAACAGGAGTTCTAGAGGCCCCCCAGAATCCAAAAACCCCTATAAAATTATCACCTTCAATAGTTCTATTTTTCACTAGTAGATCAGCATTCCAGATACATATCAAACCACCAGCCATACCTTTTGAGGGTTGAGCAACCCATTCAAAATTCTCCGCTCCCCATAAAGCTCTGCAAATTTGAAAATCCACCACCTCTAATTTCGATTCCTGTATTGATAAGAACTCAACTTTCTCCCGAATAACTACATCTCTAACCGCCTTCCTCTTCCCATTACTACCCGCTCCTCTAACATTTATAGACATAAAGATCATTTAAAATCACCACATCTGTCCCCATCGTTGTCGGCCTCTCTATTTTTTGATCTACAAAAAATTCCTCTGTCACGCACCTCCATTGCCTCCAGTCTCTGTAAAATTTCTCCCTCATTACCATGATCAACAACTCCAATTTCTTTGGCAAACTCCCAGATCTGCACTACCTTACTGGCGTTGCCCATCGATTGCAAGCATCTATTCCTATTTTGAATGCCGCTATCAGTTATTGATTCATCTGCTACTTGATTTTGTGTAAATGATTCACGAAATCTAACTAATTATCATAGATTCGTCCTGAACCTCATCGATCATTCCATTTTTATCAAAGATTTTGGTGTTTTTTCATGATACTTTATTAAAATGACTTGATTTTTAAATATATATTTTTTTTTATTGAAAACTGTTTTATATATGGTTCATTCTGTAAAATTACTTAAATATCCTTAAAAAATAATATATAAACAAAATTAAAAGTATTTAAGTAATTTTAAAAGATGAATTGCATACAGTTCATGCTGTAAAACAGTTTTTTTATTTTTTTTATGTTTAGAGATTTAGTTGGTAAATACACAACCGCTTCTAATTTTAAATTTCTAATTGATTTTTGGTTGGATACTCCAAACTGCTGAAACTAAATTCTATTAATGTAGGGTATCCAATCTGGGAGGTTTGTGGTTGAATTAGATCTCATACTGCAACTGGGCATAAAGTGAAGTTGGACAAGCTTTTGCAAGACAAAACAAGTAAAGAAGATGGTGTTGCTCAAGTCTGAAAACGTCCAGAGGGTATGGGATACATGGAATATCAGAGGATTGATTATTCTAAGTTTCTTGGTCCAGTCTTTCTTAGTTCTGTTTGCACCATTGAGGAAAGCAAGAGGCGGGAAATGGGTCGTTATGATTTGGATGGCATACTTGCTTGCAGGCTGGGTTGCTACATTTACCACTGGACTCATCGTACGGGGTGAACGTAGTGAGGACATCCTGGCCTTGTGGACACCCTTTCTTCTGTTGCATCTTGGTGGCCCTGACCTTATTACTTCCTTCTCTTTGGAGGACAATGAATTCTGGATTAGGCACGTAATTAGGCTTATTTTACAGGTTGGTTTAACTATCTATGTTATCCTTCAGTCACTCCCAGGGAACAAGCTTTTACTCCCAGCCTTCTTGGTGTTAATTGCAGGCACAATCAAATATGGAGAGCGAAACCGTTCTTTTTTTCTTGCATCTATTGACAATTTTGGTGATCATTATTGGTGGAAGCACTGGTCTGGTAATGTCGTTTATCTTTACTTTCAACGTACAATTCGTAAACTAAAGTCTCTTGATGTAACAAATTCGGACGGGCCATTGGCTGTGTTTGGCATTCTCAAGAGCCTAATTGTAGGTCCTCGCGTGCCTTCAAAACAAAAATATTTAATTCTATCAACAATTTGTGATTCAAATTCAGATGAAGTGCTTCAAAACATAGAGATGAGTCTAAGCCTCTTGTATGATCTTCTTCATACCAAGTTACGCGTAACTACTTCCAGTATTGGAGGCTTGTGTCGCTTTGTTGATTTTGGTTGCATCTTGGGAGCTTTGATGTCATTCTCAATACTTAAGAAGCACTACAGGTTGGGTGAGTTCGATGTATGGTTAACCTACGTGTTGCTTATTGGGGCCTTGGCATTGGAATTAATTTCTTTCATTTTTCTCATCATCATGCTCCGTGATATGAGAGGTACTCCTTTTGTCAACTTGCCTAGGTGGTCTAACTCTGTTACCCAATTAAATTTTATTACTTCTCATTTCAAGGACTATCCAGTTTGGTTCAACATGTTGGTTGATTATCTTGGTATAAAGAGTTTGTTCGATGTCATAAAAAGAATTCGATGTGCACAATCCGAAAAATTCAGAGCAGACCAAGAGTGGCAGTTCATTTTTACACAACTGTGGGGATCCGTTACTATTGCAGATAATGAACAGGGAAATGGCAAGAAAATTCATGCTGAGGGATATGGTGGAATTCTCAAAATTAATAACAATCTCAATTGGAGCATCAAGAAGTTTGACTACATGGAAAGCCTTGTAATGTGGCACATAGCCACTGAAATATGCTACCGAAGCAGTCGTCCAAATAACTGCACAAGCTCTCCCTCTACATCCAGCAGTATTGATCCCAGGGAAATATGTAAGTCACTCTCGGAGTATATGTTTTACCTGTTAGTGGCAGAGCCCAGCATGATACCCACCCCGTCGCCTGACAAATTGAAGGATGTATTTCGGGGAGCATATTATGGCAAAAAAATAAAAACCTGGAAGTGGCCAGATGAAAAGGAATTCAGCCCTAAAACATTTGTTTTAAGTCTGGAAAAGCTATTGGACAAAGAAAAAGAAGATGTGGACAAGTTATTGATGAAAATAAACACAGATATGGAAACGGAAAGCCCAAGCGCTGAAGATGAAGAGAAAAAAGACAGAGATAAGAAAAAAGGCAGGGATAATTTTTCCAGGATAACTGCTGCATGTTATCTTGCCAACAAGCTGCTCGATGAGCCCGGTGGCTGTCCGTGGGAGTTAATGAGCAAAGTTTGGGTAGAATTAGTATGCTATGCTGCTATTAATTGCAAACCAATTGTGCATGCACGGCAAGTAAGCAAAGGGGGACAGCTTCTCACTTTGGTTTGGTTATTGATGAATCTCATGGGATTAACTCGTGCAAAGGAATGGCGTGCAGTAGAGGGCATAGAATTTGATTTTGACTAGAAAGGATCACTTAGCGACTCTCTTGAAACCATTTTTTTTTTCTCTTTCTTTCTTTATCCATTTTCTGACTTCTTAATTGTTTCTTGTTTTGTGTATTGCACTCTATATCATCACAAGGTTGTCTTACTGTTTGGAAACCTGTATTTTCTTTTTATGAGGTTTGGAGACATGCGTTTTAAGTACTTTAATTTATGTAATTCAGAAGAGAGTCAGCTCAAAGCCATCTCCTTTGAAAATCCAAAGCATATATTTACATTTTTTTCAATCCTCAGCTACCCATTCGTTGGAAATTTTAGGGAATGGACTTAAGGAGAGTTAAACAAAGTACAGTTTGGAATTGGTACATGAAAACATCTTAAAAAAACTAAAAGACATATCTAAAAAAGGCATGTCTATTCGATTTATGGATTTCACTTCTTTAAGCCCCACTTGTGTTTTTTTTCTTTTTTCTTTTTTCTTTTTTCGTTTTGATCAGCAAGCCACTTGGGTTCTGAATTTGCCTTTTCAATGGTGGACAATTTCTTCCGGTGACTCTTACTCAACTTACAAGGGAATCTCACACTCAACACCATTCCAAAACTATCTCCAATCTAACAATAGAGATTTTCTACGGTTACACCTATGCTCACACCCACTCCAAAAAAAAACCATTTGTTGATATCAACAGACTGTTTGACATGTTTTTAAGAAGCGAATTGTAGAATACTCGAAAGAATCGAAAATTAATTTTATCAAAAAGGAAAAAAAAAAAAGTAGAAAGAATCAAAACTGATTTAATAAAAGAAAAAATATGCGCAAGTAAAGGCTATTAATTTGAGAATGGATTTTGTTTGTGTTGCAAAATTAGACCAGTACTTGCTTGTTTCTCTCAACTTTGTATTATACAAACAAACAAACAAGCATAAACTGATAGTTTTAGATTTTTTGGATGTTCAAAAATCAAAGATTACAAAAGAAAGAAGAGAATAAAGGCGCGTGCTGAATATTTTCTTCAGAAAAGCCTATTCTCATTGCTTTGAACCCCACATGTCACAGGTGCTTTGGCCCTCACTTTCCTCAAGTACCATATACCTACCCCAATTCCCAAGGCTCCAGCGGCTGAAACACCTGTTACTGTGCCTGTTAAAAAAATAGAAAAAAAAAAGGGTAAAAATCAAGAGGTTTGACAACAAATTCAGTTGGGTAGCTTATCAAGCTTCCATTTACTGCAGTTTAAACTTTTAAGCTTTAAATTTTGATTTTCATTTTTTATATACTTAATAGTTTATACGATATTTAGATAAAATTTAATAAAACTTAATTTTTATGATAAATTTTAATTTTTGTTTTTTGTGAGACATTCTAATGATTAAGAGATTGACTTTTCATGTTAAAAATTTTAAATTTAAATACTAGATGAATGAGGAGGAATTTGAGAAGGTAGAACTATTTTTTATTGTATAGTCTATTATTCAATATACTAATTTTTTTTATTTTTAAATATAGTAATAATTACAAATATAAAACAAAAATCAAAAATTTTTTAATAAGTTATATCCTCTTTTGTTTTCATGTAATGTTTATATGGCAAGTCATTAACACATTATAATTCTTCTATTATTTTTTTTTAAACAATTCTTCTATTATTTATATGAAAAAAAAGAGTAAAATTCAGAATGATCTGACACTTTAAATATTAGCATTCGTTGTAAAATTATTCAAATATTTTTAATAAATTTTTTTTACATATTAATTCTTAAAGGTATTTCAATATTTTCATTATTATTCCTAGAAATTTGATTCTTAAGATGTTGTAATTTTCCTCGATTTCTATTTATATATTCTTAGTTTTATTTTTAAAAAATAAAATAAAATAATGAAAAAACCACAACTAATCAAGACCATACTAAAATGGAGCCTGGGCTTCTTAATTTGGCCTAAAAGAAAAACGCCTATCGAGCTTGTAAATTCTAATTGACCTTGAAAAAGGTTTATCAAGCAAAATCGAACTTATGCTCGAACTCAAGGATGCACAAACTTACTTAAGCTAGAATTGGCAAAAGCTTCGCTGAGCTTGGTTGTTTTGCAAGCGCATATATGATGGCAATCTCTACCACTATTAATGAAACCTAATGCTAAGCTATATAATAAGAGTAACACTTGATTGAGATATTAATTTAAAATTTGAAATATTGAAACAGCTAATTAGGAGCAAATGTTAAATCAAATGATGTTACTTCACCTGCTATCACTCCTGCCTTTGTATGGCTTGAAAAATCATGATCTGCAAAAGATGGTTAATTGATTTGGAACGCTTGAAAAAATTATCAGAAGATATATTGAAAATTTATTAGAAAAAATTAGAACTTGAAACATACCTTTGCAATAGCTTGTGACATTTCCTCTGTTACAAAGACACAAAAAATCCTGTGTCTGTGTGTCAAATCCACAAATCCCACTTCCCTTGTTCGGATCCTGACACTGGAGGCACCGCGTCGTCACTGGGATGTCAAAATCCACCCGAATCCCGTACTCCGGCACCTGATTGTACGGTGTATTTTCATTCGTCCCCACATTTCTCCAGTATATGCTTGTATACGAAGCACAATACTTGAGCATCAGCCTGAGTGATTCCGTTGCTTTTGGGTAGTACGAGCAGCAAGAAGCTCTACCGCCCAATGCTGCGGAGCATTCAGGTAAATGGCGGCACAGATAGTTGGAACTGTCGCAGGATGAATCGCATCGGTCTGGGAACCGTTCGCAGAAGATGGGTCTCGGCTCGACGATCACGTTGTCCTCGCTGCAATTGAAGAAGAGGTAGTCGTTTTGCGAGGAAAGAGAGAAATGGGTGCTGGTGTCGAGGCTGAACGGCCTTGTCGGACGGAAATTTTCGCGGTCCTGGCAATTCCACATGTAAGGGTCGGAGACGAGAATGTGGGGGTCGGAGTAACTAATGCTGCGAACTGCATATCGGCCGGAAGGTGTCCGGAGCTCAAGACTGTCCTGATCAGAGCATACCAGCATGTGTCGGTAGTACGGACTACCGCAGCCGTCATCGATTCCGAAGGGGTAGTTGATAGGAATGCCACCGCAACTGGTTCTGCAGGGGTTTGCTTTTGCTTCGGCGTGGATGAAGTTGAAAAGAATGAAAATTAGGAGGCAAAAACAGTGATATGAAGAAAGTTTGAGCTCTGAAATAGGTCTGTGGAGGAAGATGGAATCCATACTAGGCAGATGATGGAAGCTATGTTAGGGTTGTCTGTTGGGATTTGTGGAGTTTAATGTAAGAAAACAGATTAAAGAATCAGAGACAGAGAATCTTTCAAGTCTTCTTTGCTTTGTTTTTTGTTTTAGTACTTTTGTCTTTGTGCTTTTGCTTTTTGGTTTTAGAAGATTGTTGAAGAGATCGGATATTGAACCCTACTGCAAGCAATGATCAAGGTCCAGGTGAATTCTGCAAAAGCATAGTGTTTAATTCTGGCCCTGGTTTCTTTTCTTATTTAGCCCAACATTTTGTCTTGAAACTGATTTTGGTTAGAGTAACTATCGAAAATAATATAATTATAATATTAAATACAAGTCTATGATATAATTTGTTGTTATTTGATTGATTCTTCTCATTTATATGTTTATTTGTGATATTATATATATTTACTTATTCAACAATATATCAGATTCATTTAATAACATGTTATAATTGTAAACTTACAATTATATATGTCATTGTCGTTATAATATTTCTATATAAATATTTATCAATAAAGTCCAAAAGTTTAGGTTTTTCATTTTTAGGTTTAAGACCAACATTATATTGTTGATTTGTATAATTTATCAGATAATAATTGATACATTTTTTGATTTAATACACTTCACAATACACTTATGAAGAGATTATTATTTTCAAATTTAAATTCAATGTGAGAAAAATTTCAACTGTATAATTTAATAACTAAATTGATAAGTGTTACCGAGTATATTGAATTAGAGGGTGTATTAATCATTTTCTTAATTTGTCAAGCACTTTCAAACTCAAGCAAATATTTGCCCAAGAGTGACCGGTGCGCCTCATGGTTAAGCCCAATTAGTTTTTTGGTATTGTAATAATGTAATTCATGATTAGTTGATGTAAATTGTAATTTGCAACATATAAGATGAAATGTTCTATTTTCAGTAGCTATAAAGGAAATGGACTCTTTAATTTAGGGGCTTAATTGCCAAGGAAAGATTTTCTAATTTTTAGAGGGTAATGTTCATTGGAGAAAATTTTGTATGGACAAGGCACTGGAATGTAATGAAGCATTGGTTACCACTTGCCGAAAGCAAATCCTTAATAATCAAGTTTACATCCAGAGAAGCTCAAGGCCCCAACTGTTATAAGGGTCCATCTAATGTGGGCTTGAGGGCCTTGGATTAATTTAATAATTTCATTTCTGAAGACAACTTTAAATAGACCACTCAACTTGGGCTTCCCTTGCAGCTTTGGATTCTCCGCCCAAAACATTATTGCATAGATAGAGACTTTTTTTAACATAAGAATAAATATCATCAATTAAAAGGTTATATGGCATCTGCAAGAAAGGGGGGATTGCATGGACTCAAAAATCTAAGACTTCCAACTTTACAACCAAACACATAAAGCACAAACAGAAATAAGAAAACAAAAACAAAAGTAGGTATAGCACCATTTTAACACTAAAGAAATGTGGGTGATCACGATTTGTATTCACATTTTATAATTTAGTCAAACAATGAAGTGTACCATTGGATGCCTATTAATTTACTCTTGACCGTAACTAGCACCGTCTCTGTGATGCCTTAACTCTTGACATGAAGATCAAAACATGAAGGATCAGTTTTTCTTCTTTTTCTTCTTCATCATCTCCCCTTCAACTTGATCATAAGCGAAAGGAGCTATAGCAAACAGGAAAGAGAACTTAAGGAAGAAAAAAAATCAAGGGATAGAAGATATATGATTATTTGGTTATTGGTTATAATTCAAAATTTTTAAAAATCATAAAATTACATTTTTAAGCATCGAAAAATTAATTGCTTGATAATATAAAGATTTAAATCTGATCTCAACTTAAAATTTTTAAGTTAATGAATATTAATTTAACTAAATTTTTGTTAATAAAATTCATAAAATTATTCTTTCATAACCAACTTGCTAACCGAACCACACTAATTAATCTCTTGGGATTAGAATAGAATCTTGTGACTGAACCTAGAAATTCCACCCAAATCCCACCATTTCCTCTCGTCTCTTCCATATTTTAGCAAAGGCATAAAAAATTAAAAAAATTAAATAAAAAAAACTATAAGATGCCTAGAAACTTACCTTTGTCTCGATGTCCTTATTAAGTCACATACAGAGTCAAATGTGGTGGATCCCAGAAAACAGTAGTTTGACAGCGGCCTTTCTGGTCATCTTCAAATCTCCAAGGAAACACGGGTTGCTTGAATACAGCTCCAAACTTTCCCACCAAATAAAGTGGAAAAAAATAAAAAAATAAAAAAATAAAAAAAGAACACCAAACAAACTTCATGTGATAAAAGAAACCAAAAGGTTGCCCTTTGAATTCATCCCATACATTGATTCCTCCTTTAAAGTAATTCACACCCTCTTCCCCAAAAAAATTATCCCATGCACCGAACTTCATGTGATGTGTAATCAAAGAAACCCAAAGATTCAATTCAACAGGCGGCCCTTTGAATTCATCCTGTACTTTTATTCAAAAATTCCCATTCCAATTCATGCCCCTTTCCCCTAAAAATTCATCTAAAAAGTCTAAATATACAACGATTTCACACATACGTTAATTTGATCAGTTACCGTGACATCTTAAAATAAATTTCAAAGGCAGTACTTTTATACTAGTTTGGAGTACCACTTCAAACGTTTTTCCATCACGTCGAGTTGGAGGTAAATATTGAAACTCTCAAATCTATCCTAAATAAAAGATAGAGATATATCTGTTTTTAAAAAGAAAAAAATTATTTTTTAAATTATTAATTAAGATATATAATTTTATCACAAGTCAAAAAATTAATTTACAACTTATATCTATTTTAAACTTAAAAGGTGACGTATAAAGACGTTAATTATTAAATAATAAATTAAATAATAAATTATTTATCTTATTTTAAAATTTTAAAAT